TAAAAAGCACTCATAATATTGCTTTGTGAAACTTTGAGCTTATTTCCACTTGACATTTGTCACTCATACAGTCCCAGCCCATGTCAAATTCCATCAGAGAATGTATCACAGTCTCATGAGGTTCCTTTCCTTTCAGCACCTCTGGACATCCTTCCTCTAACCCAGACCGTCTCCAGCTCCCAGCCCTGAGCTGCTGAGAGAAACGTCTCTACCCAGAGCTACCACAGATAATGAGAGACCCAGTCCGATAGCACAGGCAAAGGTAAGTCTGGAGCCTCTACCTGTAAAGGGTGTCAGTCCCAAAGTTTGAGGAGGAGGCAGTTTGAAGAAAGGATCAAGTTGGTGTTCTGTGAAAGGTTCTACTGCACAGAGGAGGTGTGGATTGAAATAGCTGTGCTTCTTCTCAGGAAAGTGGAATGAAAGAAGAGAAAGAGGGTAGGGATAAAATAATTATGCTTACTAAAAGTTTTGGGGGCCTATTTGTAATTCTCAGAGGTGGCATGTCTCTTTCTGGGTATTTGCACTCTATAACTTAACCTGTGACACCTAGGCCAGTGGTCTTCAAAATAGAGTATATACACCTGAGTGTGTGAAAAGACTCTGCAAGATACTCAGATAGGAGTAGTGTGAATAAGGTGAATGTTCATACCCTCAAACCCCATATGTGCTCTTCCTTAAAAGTGGTTGGAGAGGCTTATTCCCCATTCCATCTCTCACAGTTGTCTTTCTTTTACTTTAAAATCAAGGGATAGCCTTTCCCTCCTTTCCCATTCCATTTTTCTCTTTCTCTTTCCTTCTCTTCTTGAACAACCCAATCTGAAACTGTTCAGGGAGGCAGAGCAAACTCCACATCTGTGCTGGCAGTCAGAGGGGTAGGGTGTAGGGGGCAATGGAGGTGGCCCCCAGCAAGGGGTCAGAGTCCATGTAGTGAAGGAATTCCAACCCATGGAGGCAGCTTGATGTGGAGAAGGTGAAAGTCCATGTGGGGGGAGGGGGGAGAGCTCTCCAATGAGAGTTAGAGCCAGAGCACAGTGAGGAATAGGTAGGACATGCCAGAGCCCACACCAGGTAAGGAGGAGTCCATGTGGAGGGAATGTCCAGCATAGTGCTGGAGAGGGTTGAGGAGGGCATGCATGCAGGAGAAGGAGTAGAAACATTGGTTAGAAATTGGCTTTATACTGTCAGGGTGATCAAAGAATAAATACATTAAGGATCAAGAGCCAGGATTCTCACTTTCAGAGTAGAAAGTTACAAATACTGAAGGGATTTGGGGAGACTAACACAAAATCACTAGCTGGTGATTACAGTGTAGCCTGAGGAAGTAGCCATGGTGGACCAAGTGAAGTCCCTGAAGGAATTTACCAAGAACATCAGACAGATTTAACAAATTATGATTGACAGCTAGCAAAGTACTCTAAATCCCTGCTTAGAAAGTAGGACCACTAACTAGAGATGGGGTGTGCCACTTGAGAGTTGCCTGAGAGAACCCCAAACTGTCACATCATCTTCCAGATGCTCCTGAGACTTTGTAGAACAGTAAGTCTTGTTCCTGCTTTCCATTTTTCAAAACCATTTCCTTTGGGAAACATACCATGTGTGGGGTGGAAGAAGTACAAAGGAACAATTGGAGAAATTGTATTGGGCATTTTAATTTTGCAGTGAGTTCCTATGAAGAGATTTTGGTCAAGACTGACCTATTTGAATAGCTCACCATTAATAGCGTCAAACTCTTTGCTAAGATCCTCCCCACCTTCCTCTAAGAGCTCTCTCAACAGCTTCTTAGCTCTCTGCATTGTTTCCACAGTGTCCCCTCCTGTTATTGGTGGGGAGCTGGCACTGTCCTGTTGAGGAGGTGGGACCAGTTAACTTCTCTTGCCCAAGTGAGATAGTTGCCATAAAATGTTGTTCCTAACCTGATTTTTCCTATACTTTCAAGAGGTTTGGATACTAGTAGGACTTCATATTTCACCCTTATATGAATTTAAAGGATGTCTTATATCAATTTTCCCACCAGTTGATCCCTTAAGATGGCTTTACAAGATGAGCATCAAATGGGAAGTGCAAGTTATGACAACCTGTTTGGTGACAGCAACTACACACTCTGCTTGATTGACCACCTAGATTTAGTCTTCAGCCAACTGCACTGAGTGCTGCTGCCCTTCAGGAAAAGGATCCCATAGAGCAATAGGAAGAGTTCAAAATGCAGGTGCTGGAGGTGCCCATATGTGACCCTACCTTGGGTGTATTGGAGGGAAAAAGAGTCTAGGCAGGGATTCTGGTGAAGCTCAAGGCTCAAACTCTTTCCTTACTTACATAAGATTTTTGTGTGTGTGTGGTCAATTTGCAGTTGATACGTGCAAACTAACTGCAATGTGATTATCTTAACATTGCATGTACATTCTACAAAATAAAACTACTTATTTTTAAAGATTAGAAGAGAAAAAATTCAATTGTATTTTCAATCTATTCAAGTTTTACAAGAAATTTCATTACATTTGTTCATTTTATTTTATTTCATATTTTCCATCACCATTTATCCCCTCTATGCCCTTTTTCTCTCCTCCCTATAACTCATGAACATTACATTTGTAAATGAAGGAAAAGAAAGAACTGTTATGTTCTTTAAATAGAATTTAAAAGAGTGGGAATGAAAAAGATTTTAAAATTTGTATCACTTACTCATGCAACTAAAATATCTTACCAATGGTGACTATCAAGAAATTGAAGAGATGCCCTGACCAGTTTGGCTCAGTGGGTAGAGCATTCGCCTGTGGACTCAAGGGTCCCAGGTTCGATTCCGGTCAAGGGCATGTACCTTGGTTGCGGGCACATCCCCAGTAGGAGG